TTCTTCTCGTTCTTCTTCTTCTTCCGATATTTGAACTTTCTTTTTTCCCTCGCTGGTGGTCCTTGCATCCTCTACTTCCACGACACTATGGCGGGCGGTGCTGGCGACATTGGAGGGGGGAGTGGCGGGTCTGGACAGAGAAGGGGCAAAACGGCAGAAGAAAAAGGAAAAGGAAAAGGTGCAAGCACCTCCGCTACACCCGCATCCACGGTGACCTCCAAAGACCCCATGCCGGCAATGGACCCTTCACTGTTCGTTCCACAGGACAAGGCGAGGTAGGACAAGCTGCAGAGGGAGAAGCATGTGTGGAAGTATGCAGAATAGGGTCAAGAAGCCGGGGAGAAAGGGAGAGGCGAGTATTAAGTGAGGTGTCCGTTATCCACGCAAATTTGGAGGGGCACGAGCTCAAGAGCGATGGAACATTACCTGAAGACGCAGAAGCCGTGTCCATCGCGCACAGCGGAAACCGTGAATGAGCTCGTCAACTCCGGGGGGAAAGTGCTGCCGCGTGATAAGAATACGCGGTACTTGCTGAAGAATTACAGGCAGCTGCACGGGATTCCGAAAAGGGGGGTCGATCAGACGGAGAAGGCCGACGAGGTGGTTGAAGTTCCTGCATACCTTGAGCCACAGCCACCGCCCACTGCGGGCAGGGCTGCTCCACCATGTGATGCAGGGGATTTGCACAAGGAGAATGCTTTGGAGACGGTGGGGGGTGAGGCGTCGGGGTCGAACACACGACTGTCCTCATTGCAGCAGTCAACAATAAGGAGGTGGGTGGACAACGATGCGCAGAAGAAACTGGACATTGCATGGGCGGAGGCCATGTTTCATGCTGCGATCCTGTTCAACTTCCTGAACTTCGAAACCACCCATAAACTCCACGAAGTGTACCTGTAGGTGGCAAAGTCAAGACCGCACGTGAAACTGCCCTCCTTCAAGCACATGAGGACCGTCATGTTGGACATTGTCTACATGCGAGTGCAAAAGACAATGGAGCCGTTGACGACTTGTTGGGATGTGAGCGGGTGTACTTTCATCACAGGCGGATCGAGTGATCGTCGGGAGCGGCCTGTGATGAACTGCTTGGCAGCTGGGGTGGATGGGGCGGTTTTGGTGGTGACGGTGTCTATGTCCAGGAGGAAGAAGACCGGACCTGCATTGGCGAAACTTTGGGAGCAGATCATGAGGGAAATTGGACTGCGTCGAATCAATGCGATCTTCACTGACAACGTGGAGGTCAACAAAAGGGCGGCTCAGATCCTGGAGCGACGAACGGACAAGGAGATAACAAGGATTCTGTGGGTTCCTTGCGCTGCGCATTGCTGCAGCCTTCTTTTACGCGACCTCAACAAACTCGATTGGGTGAAGCACACCGTTAATCGTCAAGTTCATCAGTAATCACCACAGCACACACAGTCTAATGATGACAGTGGACGATTCTCTGTCTCTTCTTTAACCCACGGAGGTGCGCTTCGGGTCAGTCTACCAAATGTTGGAGAGCATATACGACAGCAGGCCGGTGTTGAAGGATATGGTTAACGGTCGGAATGCAGCGAAGTGGAATGCAATCCGATGGTCCACGTCGAAGTTGAGGGCCAGATCAGATCTGGTGTACTTCACATTGAGGAGTGATGAGTGGTGGACGGGGTTGAACAAGGTGGTTGAGGTGATGGAGCCCATGTTCGGCCTCTTGAGGCGGATGGATCAGGACGGTACCGGTCCCACAAACCTTGTCGAGTATGATAACATGATAGAGAGGAAGCTTAGCCATGTCGTTCTTACAGTGGAGCAGCGGGCGAGCGTGATGGAGAAAGTCAGAGATTGCATGAAGATGATGCCGCAGCCCGTCCACGCAACAACCTTTCTTTTGGACCCGCGCAGGAGAGAACCGAGGTGGTTGCATGACCAATACAGTGTGCTTGTGCAGAATGCCATGCGCTTGCTCTCGAGGCAGGTTGGAGGTGAATGGAAAGGGCAAGCGCACCTTGACATTTGGAGTAACCTGAATGAGTTCCACAACAAACCTACAAGGAACGACCCGAAAAGGAATGACACGAAGATGTGGGACCCCACAACGAAGTCCGATGTTGACAAGAAGACACCGCCAGAATGGTGGGCAGCACACGGTGGCGACATGCCCGATTTGGAGAAGATTGCGATCAAGGTTATGGGCATGTGGAGCACCGCATCACCGACGGAGAGGAATTGGCCTTCCATGGACTTCATCCATTCCCGACGGAGGAACAAGTTGTCGCCAGAAAGCTTGGAGAAGCTAGTGTACATACACTAGAACATGTAGCTACTGTGTGTTTCGGAGACTAAGAACAACGGATTTGTGGACTTGTGGTGTGACTTCGTCGAGCCCGTCCCGGAGCCTGAAAAGAACGATGGATCGATGTCGAAGGGGCCCAAAGATGAGGCTGAGAAGACAGAGGAGGAGCTTGTGCGGGAACGGAGGCTCACAAAGACTCCGAAGGGAAGGGTTCCAAAAAATCTCGACGACAAGGACGAAGAGCTCACGGATGACAGTGATTTGGATGACGAGCTGTGGAAGGGGAAGTGCCGATTGTCGGAGGACTCAAGTGGCAGCGAAGAGGACGACGACGATAAATCCAATTTCGAGCTACGACCGGAGCCGTCCGTCCCAGGCACGACGAACGTCGGAAAAAGGCGGATCAGATGACAACGCAGAGAAGAGCCACGCCCGGCAGCGACGGAGCCTGGGGTAAGGGAAACTGCACCGTACAATCCGCAATCTGATATCGACGGCTAGACACAGATGTCGAGACGTTGCTGAAAACGAGGGTGGACGAAGATGAGGAGGATGCGAACCGTGCCAAGGCTATGGCTGACCGGGAGACCGGACTCGTCAACAAACGTATGATGGAGGAGGCCCGCCGTGCAGCTATCCCGACTTGGAGAGAGATCGAGAGAGGTCTCAAACAAGCCACGGAACACCAACAGCAGATCAATCGGGCATTGGAGGTTGTGGAAGAAGGAGAAGACGAGGAGGAGGAGCACCAGGCTAAGGTGGGAGATTGCATGGAACAGGAAGAAGAGGCGGAGGGCATGGTGCAACCACAGGAGGGAGAGGAGATGGAGCACCAAGAAGAAGAGGAAGGCACGGTGCAAGGCGGGGAGGAAGAGGAAATGCAGCAGGAAGAGGAGGGGGAAGGATTGGCGCAGCGGGAGATGCAGCACGACGAGGTCGATACGGCCCGCGAAGACGAGCCCCATCCCACATCGACAACAGTCTACACACGCAGGCCCCGGCCAGCGGAGTTTCAGGAGTCCGAGGAGAAGATACCGAAATTCCCCGCAATGAGGGAGGCTGTCCAGCATGACAACCTGTGGGTGAGCCGAGTGGGCAGGAAGAGAAAGGAGCCATCACATGACGCTCCTGCACAGCCGAAACGTTCTCGTGGCAGACCGCGAAAGCAGAAGACCGACACGGCCACTACACCAGCTAAAAAAAAAAACAGCGCCTCAAGCGCAAGACGGTCGTGGAGGATGACCCGGAATCAGCTGACTGCAGCGAACAGCCATCTGAGGATGAGGGCTGCGACGCTGATTCCGAATGAGATCAGCATGTCCAAAAGTGTGTGTGTGTGTGTGTGTGTGTGTGTGTGTGTGTGTGTG